AAAATATATAAAATAAAAATATTATACATAAATAAATTAAAAATATTTTATTTTTATACATATATATATATATAATTTTATATTTATGTTTAAATATTTTTTATTTAAATTTATATTTTATTTATTTATATACTTTATATAAAAATATAATCATAAATGATTATTATATAAATTTTTTATTTTATATATTTTTTTTCTTAATATTTTTTTTATTTTCAACCTAATTTAATTTATCTTTTCTTAACATAATTTTTTTTTTATTTATTTTTCAAATCAATTTTATTATTATTTTTTTTCTTTTTTTATTTGTTGTTTTAATTTATGTCTTTTAACAACATGTGCTTTTTTATTATTTTTTTTTTTTGTTTTAATCTCTTTCTCTTAATTTCTTCTTTTTTATAATTTTTTGTTTAAACATCTATGAGATTTATTTGTTTACTCATTTATATCTTCTTATAATTATTTTTTATCTTTCATTATATTTATTTTTTTATTTTTTGATTATTTTTTATATTTTTTTTTTATTATTAACTATATATATTATTTGTAAATATTTTTGTTATTTCAAATTAATTTTATATATAATATATAAAATATAAAACATAAAATTTAATAAACAATGTTTATATAAAAAATAAAAAAAATATTATAAATACATATTTCATAAGGTTAAATTCTAAACATATTTCTAATTTATATTATTTTTAATTAATTTACTTATCATTTTTGTTGTTGTTGTTTATAAAAAATCATTCTATCATTTTCATAGTTTAGTTAGTAATATAATTATCCCAATTTTCTTAAGTATAATAATTTAAATTTTAATTTACCCAAGGATGAATTACAGCATCCTCTATACTAATTCTTTAATTTTAATCTCTATTAAGTAATTTTTAAATAAAATCCTAAGCAAGTGTTGAAACATAATAAGGGAAACTTAGATTTTACTTAAAAAAAAAAAATATAATAAAATAAAATAAATAAAATATAAAAAAAACTTTTTAAACATGCTATATATTATCGTTTTAATTATTATATTTAAATGGATAATAGCCAGTTAAAAATAGATATGTAAGAATACCTAAACTCCACATATCTACACCTTACCCGTAACTTTATCCACAAGTAATTTCTGGACTCATAAAATCAACTGTCCCGCAATAAGTTTACCTCTTTTTCTCTATACTATACACACTACATCCTAAATCTCCTATTTTGGCAACTCCAAAAGAAAGCAAAACATTTTCAGGTTTTAAATCTCTATATATAATATTATTTCTATGCATATGTGTTAAAGCATTCATTATTTATTTTATGTAAATAAGTGTTTAATGTTCTGTATATTTCTTATTTTTAATTAAATCATTTTATAATGATCCATGATGTGCATATTCTTAAATCAAATAAATGCTTTTTTTATCTTAATAAAAACCATAAAGCTTAATTATGTTAATATGGTTTAAATACGATTATATTTTTATTTCATTTTGTAAATAATCTTCTATTTTCAGACGAAGTAAAGTTTATTTGTTTATTTTTTTTAAAGCAACTATCATACCAGAATAAGTATCTCTAAAAAAATAAAAATATATAAAAAAAAACATATGTAAATATATATATAAAATATGATATATATAAAAAAATATATACTAATATATATATATATATATATATATATATATATATATATATATATATATATATACTTGGCTAGATACACTGAACCAAATTTACCATTTCCGAGCATTTTTCCAATTTAAAAATTTGATTAATTATAAAAGTTATTAAAAATAATATTATTGCATATAGGATTTGTTGCATATTTTTATTTTATATTATTTTAATAAATATTCTTATCATATAATTATTCTTTTTTATTTTATTAATCTAAAATATTACTATTATAGTCTACTTTTTCTGTTAATTGTACATTTTTTTGTTAGTTTATTTACATATCTTTATTTTGAAATGTAAAATTAGATACACATGATTAATATTAATGAATTATATCGATACAGCTTAATATTTTTTTTTATTATTATTGTCTAATATTTATTTTTTTATCTTATAAATTAGCATTAGTTTAATAAGTTTGTTTTTCACTAGGTCTGTTTTTTATTTATTAATAAATTTTTTCTATATTTTTTATATTCTGTAGTTTTTATTAAATATTTTAATCTTATATTTCCTTATTAAAAATATTTATATTAGAAAAATTATGAAAACTAATAAAAGGCCTTCTTTTTCTAATTAATTAAAGATTAATTTAAGAGTCAATTTTTGGACTTATTTAAGCATTAATATAATTTTACAATACAGATTTATCTTCTATTTTTAAATCTGTCAAAATTTATTTTTAATTTTTATTATTTTATTTGTTACTATTACAGTCGTTATAATTAAAACTTTAAAATTAAAACAATTAAAGAGGTAAAAATTCTTTATTATTTTCTTCAGTTTTTAGATTATAATATATTTATTAATTATCTTAATTCTTATTTAATTCATTATTATTTTACACTTCTATTTTTTATTGAACTTCATTATTTTCTTATATTTTACTTTATTCTTCAATATTATTATTATTATATGGTTCATATTTACTTTTTACATTTTAAATATTTAATAATAATTCTTTTATATTAAATTATGGCGAACTTTATTATCTTCCATTAAATTTTTTTTTATGTTATTAATATATGTCATTATAATTATTATTAAATGATATATTATTTTGATTATAATTGTTATTTGTATAATAATTATGATAAATTTAATTATTTTAAATTTTAGAAGAATCATAATTTGTTTCCAAATGTTCTATTTAATGTTATTTTATTGGAGTTTATATATTTTATTGTGTTTAAAATATAACTTTTTCTTAAATAACATCTAAATATTAATTACTTTAATAATTTTATTTTTATGTATAAATGTTTTCTGAAATTGTTCTACTCTTAATATTTTAGATTTCATATTAAAAATTATTTATTTACAAAGGTTCTATATTATATTTTTATTATTAATATTATTAGGCCTGCATTTTTTTTATTATTTTAATTAAAAATTTATTTATTGATTAATATATTTTATTAATTAATAAAAAATTTATTTTATTATATTATCAATTTATTTTATTTTATTTAATTTTTTTTATTTTTATCTGAAATTTTAGTATTAAAATAAACTATTAAAACTAATTTTTAATGCTTTAATATAAAGAAAAATAATGAAAATTTATACATATCTAGTATAAATATATAAAAGAAAAATATTTTAATATTTATTTATTCTTTTTTTATCAAAAAACTAACATTCCCATTTCTTTTTTGAGCCTCATTATATTTTATTTCGCTCTATCGTTAGCTTTTTTATTTCCAGCTTCTAATACATCCTGAATAATATCTTTATTTTATAACAATTCTTCGATTTTTATACCAATAGGACATATACTTATGTATTATTTTATTTTTTAACACAAAAAAAAAATGTAGAAAATAAAAATTTACGTTTTAACAAGTAATTCGGTTAAGGATTCCTTAAATTATTTCATATTTTTATTTTAAAACATATCTTCTATTTATTAAATGCTTAATCCCGATAAAGTTTAATAAATTTTTAAAAGATTATATACTTCTGGTCTATTAATATCTAATTTAATCTAAAATAATATTTTTTAATTTTTGTAAAATAAGATTACTGAAGAAATAGAATCAGTTTTAGCTTTTTTAATTTTATCATAAATTAATTCTGGAGAATCAATCAAATTAATTCTTGAACTATCAGCAGATTCAGATTTTGACATTTTTTTAGTGGCATCTTTTAAACTCATAACTCTTGGAAATTCAGCTAAATTTTTAAATATTTAAAAATGAAATACAAAAATAAAATATATATATATATATATATATTTATATTTATTTATATTATTTTTATATACATTCTAAATATTTAGGATATATTATTCCTTCACTTTATCCTTTTTAAAATAAAGAATTAAATCTATTTGCGTAATTTTTCGTTAATTCCAAATGTTGTTTTTAATCATTTCCTACTGGAATTAATGTAGCACTTTATTTATCTTTTTCATATTTTTTTTATTTTTAATTTACTTATATAATAATATATCAGCTGCCATTAATACTGGATATGAATATAATCCTAAACTAGAATTTTTACTTTTTTTATCTTTATATTAAGTCATAGTATTTAGCCAATTTTAAGGAGCTATACAACCTAATATCCATGCTAACTCAGCATGATAAGGTACCTTTTTTTTATAAAAAAGCAATTCCAATATATTTTTTATATATAATAATTTACAGCTGATTAAAGAAATATGTTTGAATGTTTTGGATCAATTCCAGATGCTAATAATACTGCAGTCATTAATATTGTATTATTCTTTAATGTATCTTCAAAATACATTTAATGATCTATTTTTAAATATTCATAATTTTTTCTCTATATATAATTTTTATAAATAATACCTATTTATATTTATCAGTTAATGCATGTAAATCAGCTATTTAAAAATATATTTCTGCTTTATCCATATAATTCTATTATAAACGGACCCAATTTTTTATTGCACCCAAATAATTTCCCAAATGAAGATTTCCTGTTGGTTGTATTCCTGAAAATATAATATCTTTCTTTTTTTTTTTTTTTAGTTTAATTATTTATCTATATATATAATGCTTTTTTTATTACTGCTATTTTTTTAGTTTTCATTTTTATTAATTTTTTATTTTGGCTTTTTTTATTTTATTGTTTAATTTATTCAAAAAACATAAAGATAGTTCTAAAATTAAAATTATTTTGAAAAAAAAAAATTTATTAAAATATATAATAAAAATTAAAAAAAAAAATAAAAAAAATATTTTAATTATAAGTTAAATAAATATGTATATAAATATATATATTTAAAATTTATCATTTTTAATTTCAAGGTTTATAAAGCATTAATTATGTATATGCCCATTTTGATACATCTACTTTTCCAATTAAGGAAAATATTTTCATACTAGACAATTATACATTTGTTTTTTTACTATACATTAAATAAGATATTGCAAAAATAGGTGATAATTAATATCCATTCTAAAATATATGAAATTAAAAATTTAAATTATAATATTACTTTGCAATATATTAGAATTCTTGCATTTTATTCTTATAAACAATCTTAAATATATTAATTTATTTCATCAAAATCTAATTAGATTTCAATGTTAGGTTACAAAGGAATACTTTTATATTTATATTTTTGTAATTTGTATTCGTTTATTAAATCAACTTTTTATTCATCATAAAAACAAAAATCTAACAAATGAGTAATTTTTAAATCATTTAAATAATATTAACTGTTTGAATGAAAAATGTTTCCCTATAATATATATATATATATATATATATATTATATATATTTTTATATTTATATATTTATATATTTATATGTTTATATATTTATATATTTATATATGTTATGAAATAAGCATATTTACAATATATATTTAATTTTCAATAATTTCATAAGGAAATTAACTAAATGAATATAAAACTTTATGTTATTATTATGTTAATATATCTCTATTTTAATATGATTCAATATTTTTATTTTAACACTACAAATTATTCATATCTTAAGCATTTAAAACTAAAAAACTATATTTTTATTTAAAACTTTCTATTCCTTCTTTTAAGCAGTAAAATTTGTAATCTTTTTTATTTTCCTAAAACAATTTTTATATTAATATATAATTTTTATTTTTTCAAAATAATAAAAAATACATTTATTGCTTCTAAAAATTTAATAAACCTACTATCATTTTCATTAAGTTATTTATAATCAATAAAGCATACTCTTCTTATTTATTTTTAATTACTCATTTTTTCTTATTGTAATACTTTATTTTCACTTTCTTCTAAAACTTGTAAAAAATTCTCTTTTTTTTAAAAATTAATTAAATATTTATTAGTTTTTAATTGTACATACATTAATTAAAATCATCATTTTCATAAAATATACTGCCTCTTATATGTTAACTATCTTAATCTTTTTCTAATTAAATAATTAATAGATGACGTAAATCCTTTTTAAAAAAACAAATAATATTTATCATTAAAAAATATTATATTTATAAAATAAAAAGCTTTACTTGCATTAAATTATAAAGAGTTATATTTTAAATACATTTAACAACATTTGTATTTGAATTATTCATATTTTCTAATATTTTTATTTTTAAATAATATAATTATTTGGAATTTTTAATATAAAATATTATCAAATAATGATTATAAAAAGATTCTATTAAATATATATGATATTATATATTTTATAATTTTTAATTAATATATAAATAATAATAGTATAAATAATATATTCTATATTATAATCATAAATATATACATATTAAATTTTTTAAATGAAAAATATTATTTTTTTTCTTTATTTATTTAATAAATTTATTTTTTACATATTATTCTATACTTAATTAAAAAATAATTAAGTCTTTAATATACAAAATATGTCATTTTTTTATATATATTCTTTTATTTAGTTTATTATATTTAAAATATGAATATTGTTTAAATCTATAAATAATAAATCATATAGGATTCATTTTACTTTTAATAAAATATATATAATTTAATTAAGTAAAAATATATATTAATTAAGACATTTTTTTAGTAAAACATTTATATTAAAATTATATATATAAACATTCAAAAAATACTATAATAAAATTATTAATTAAATTTTTTGTATATATTATAAATAAATATAGATAATAATTTAATTATATTAATCTTATGTTTATAAATTATTTGTGTTATTATTAATTTTTTTATGCTTTTAATTAATAATTTTTAAAATTATATTATATTATTATATTTATATTTTTTTTTTTTTTCATATTATAGTCTTTTTATACATTATAATTATCTTATTTATTATTAATCTATAAAAAGTGATTAAATTTTATTATTTCTAAAAAAAAGAATAAAAAAATAAAAATATATATAAACAAAAAAACAAAGAAAAAAAACTTTAATAAACAATATTTTTTAAAAAATAAACAAATATTAATGATAAAGCTAAGCCATTAAAAAAAATCAAATAAAATATAGGACGAATATAAAAATAAAAGTTAACATATAAAACAATAATAATAAAAGTTTACATCAAATTTTTCAAATAAAGATTCTTTTTCCAATATCTCTTCACAAAAAATGTTTTATTAACTTAGATTTTAAAAAGATTATTAATAAATTTTAAACGATTATTTAAATGATTAAGATGCAAAAGTTAATATAGGGTAACCTTAATATTATGATAATTTTATAAAATTAAATGTAAAATTTTATCCTTTAAAAGGAAATTTTAAAGGATACAAATTTAGTACATAAATTCTTATAACACATAAATTTCCATATAAACCAGTGATAGTTTTTTCTAAACGTTTAATATATCATCCTAATATAAACTAATATAACAATTAAATATATTGCAAAATATTAGATATGAAAGAATGGGCTCCAAATTTTACGTTTGAAATAAAAAAAATTATTATAGTAAAAAAATATAATTATTTTAAAATATATATATATAGACTTTCATCTATAATTTAAAGGCTAAAATATGTTATTTATAATCCTGAATTAGGTTTTATTCCTGAAAATGATTTAAATATAAAATGCAGTGAATTATATTAATATGATTTATAATAATTCATGAAAAAATTTGATTATTAATATTAACAACATTATGATACAAATTATTTAGAAAAAGATTTAGATAAAAAAATGATTTTAGAAGATAATTAAAAGAATAAAAAAACTAAAAAACAAAATAAAAATAAAGACTTATATTACTTAAAAAATAAAATAGATGTTCATTTTTTTTTTTTTATTATATTAATTTTTATATTTATTATTTATATATAATATTTATTATATAATTTTATAGAATATTTAAAATATAGACATAGAATTAAATTCTTCATATATGAGTTCTTCTTTTTAAGATAATTAATGCTTTCCTACAAAAACTAATATAGATGCAATAGAAATCGAACAACCTGTAAAAGAAGATAATAGTTTTTATATTGAAAATGAAGAAAAAAATAGTACTGAAGAAAATTAAGATAGTTTATAATAAAACAATTAATAAAATTTAAATACTTATTTCGATAATAATTCAAAGGAAATAAAAATATTCTAATAAAATGAAAATATTTAATTATAATTAATAGCAACTAATTGTGAAATTAATAGTAAAAAAAGAGGATTTTATAGTTCAAATATTGGAGTTAATATATTAAATTTTTAAAAATAATTTAAATTTCTATGAGTTGTGTGTACGTTTAATAAAAAAATTAATATTATAAAAATTTATTAAATGAAAAAAATAAATAAAAACTAATATAAAAAAAAAATCAAGATAATATAGAATTAATAATCTTATCTAAATCTACAATATATAAATCATTATAAGCCATCAAATGTCTATCTCCACCAAAAATAAAACACTAATTATCACAAATAATAGCAGAATGTCCGTCTCTAGCACATGGTCTTTTGCCCATTATTTTATTTTATTTTAAATCAATAACATACCCTCCTGCTTAATTTATACCAAGTTTACTCTAATCTAAATTCTTTGTAAAATTTTTATTTTTTTCAAAAGGATTTCCAACTGAGGCTATACTATTTTTCATAGTTTCGGTTGTAGGTGATATATTTCTTTATTTTTTTAAATATATATATATATATATAAATATATATTTATATATATTTGCCTAAAATTTTATTTTTCATATTCATTTAATTCAAATTCCTATAAAAGATTCATTTTTTTCATTTATATCTTTTTTTTTCTATTTTCTTCCATTTAATTATTATTTTAAATCTTAATTTCATCTTCAATTGTTACTAAATGACTATCTGGATTTCTTAATATACTTTAATAGCTTTTCTTAAATACATTTTAGGAACTAAAATTATTATTGTTTTTTAATTTTTTGAATTTTTAATTGTTTAATCATCTTATGTTTTAAAAATGCTAGTGTTTAATGATAATTCATTTACAATTGACTTATCTTAATTATTTTTTTCTAATACATTTGATGATTAGATAATACTATCTTATTCTTTTTTTTATTAATGAGAAGTATCATCATCAACTAAATAAAAATATATATATATATATATTTAATACTAATATATTATTTTTATATTTAATTATATAAATTTTTTACTTATATGCCATTATTTATCATTAGGAGAAAATACGTACATATCGTTTTTTTCGTGTGTTATATCATGTATACCTCCAAAAACAATTAAATTATCTTTGTAATTTATTAAGCTATGTCCATTTCTTGTCTTTTTATATATATTATATATAATTATTTTTATATTAATATAAATATATATTTTATGTTTTTTTTTCATATAATTATTTTTAAAAATTAATAATAAAAAAATAATTAAAATTAATTAATATAGCTATTTTATTAATTAAAATTAAAAAAAAAAAGAAATATTTAAGTAAAAAATAAAATTGTTTTATATTTTATTAAAAGTCTAAAATTATTTTTATAAAAATAGCAAAAATAATTAAATATAAAATAGAAATAATTAGATAATATTTATAATATATAACTAATATATATCTATTTTATTATTAAATTTATAATTAAAACATAAAAATTTAATTATATAATATAATAATAATAAAAAATAATATAATAAATATATATATATAAAATAAATCAATTATATATACATAAATTTCTAAATAATTATATATATATATATATATATATATATATATATATATATATTTATATATATATTATTTATTATTTTTACTTCTGGTTGTATTTGATTTTTTTATATTTATATTTATTCCCATTCTTTTTAATGTATGTCGAATTTCCATATATCATTAAATTTAATATCTACTACAGTTCCTAATAAAAAAAATAAAATTTATAATATATATTAAAAATTTTTAAAATATTTACCACCAAACATATATATTTTTTGTCCTAATATAGTAATACATGCTCCAGATCTTTTACAAGGTTGTATTTTAGATTATTCTCCAATATCTTACCATATACAAAAATCAAAATTAAATTACCAAAGACTATTTTAATAACCTCCAAAAGAATCTTTTTAATCTGAAAATCCACCGAAAATATACATAAAAGCTCTTGTATCATCTACAGTTGCGCAATGAGAATCCAATTAAGGCGGTTTTATTCCGTCCTTTATACAAAAAAAATAAAATAATAATATTAATAGAAATCTATATATAAGTATAGATATAAATATATTGAAATAAATTAAACTTATAAATTAAAATATATAAATAAATAACCTATATATTTATTTATATATTTATATATTAATTATATATATGTATATATATATATATATAATTTATATATATATATGTATACATATAAATATTTTTTATATTATAATATTGTATATAAATATTTATTATATATTTTATTATTTAAATTTTTTTTTTTTAACGTTTTTTAATATTATTTTTATAAGCAAAATAATAATTTTTTTATATAAAAATATAAATAAGATAATAAAATTAATTATACATAATAAAATCTTTAAATATACATATTATATATTAAAATTTTTTTCTTATTTTTTATATTTATATATATAATACATATATTATAATATATTTTTTAATAATAATTTAATTTATTAATTAATTAATTAATATATAATATTATTAATTTTTATATACTTTTGGTTCTAAAATTTCCCATTCATCATTTATTAAATCATATGTCCATATATCATTTGATGATTTCATAGATTATTTATTTCCTCCAAAAATGTACATTTTATCTTTAAAAATAACCGCAGTATGTCTCATTAATGGTCCTGGGTATGGTTTTTATACATTTTTTTGTATTATTTTATCCCATTTATATTATTTCGAATTTTTTATTATCATCGAGTAAAAATCGCTTAATATTCCTTCATTTACTTCATATCCGCCATATATATACATTCTTATATTTATTTTATTTTTTAAATAAATAAATAAAATAATTACCTTTCTTCATGAATTACTGATGTATGATAACTTCTACGGCATATATTTTTGCCAGTTATTTTCAATTCACTCCATTTTGTATCTATTTTTTATTATTACAAATTTTAATTATTATTTTAATGTTCATCAGTTATTTTAATTTTCGATGATTCAGAGGAATCTATTGATTTTTATTGGGTATGCTTTTAGTTTGTTCCTTTTATTTTTAATGCCATAATTTTTTTTTGGTTTTTTTTATAAATTTATTTATTTTTAAGTTTCTTTTTTTCTTTTTCTTTTTTTATTATAATTATTATAAATTTATTAGTTTTTTTCTTATTTATATAATCAAAAATTATATTACATATTAATTTTTATTTTAAAATAATATTTTTTATTCATTTACTAATATATATTTTAAATTTTATAATATTTTAATTTAATTCATAAAATTATAAAACAATTTAAAAGAATTAAATAAAAAATAAAATCTACATTTGTATTTTTAAAATAAATAATTACCATAAATAAATATATATTTTTTTATAAAATATTAGAAAAAAAATAAAATAAGAATATATATCAATATATTAGAAAAAAATAATAATATAACAAATAAAAATTCATTTTTAATCTTAATAAGATCCATTAAAAACACTATCTTTATCAGAAAATTAATTTTTAAAATCATCAAAATCATCAAAATCAGGAAAATCATTATTATTTTTTTTACCACTAAAATTATTTTTACTATTAGACAAATTATTTTCAATAACCTATTATTATTATTATTATTACTATTAGTACTATTACTACTATTATTACAATTATTAATATTATTACTATTATAGTTATTATTATTTTTATAGTTATTATTACTATTAATACTGTTATTACTATTATTACTATTATTATTATTATTATTATTATTATTATTATTATTATTACTAATTTTATTGTTTTTATTAATATTATTATATTATTTATTTCACTAATCCATCAATTTTAATTAAAAAGTTGTTAATTTTTTTATAATAAATACTATCAGAATTTACTAATATATCTTTTTAAAATTTCATTCCACCGCCTTCAATTAATGAATTAATTATATTTTCTAGATTTTTGATATATAAGTTTTATTAGTTTTATTAATCAAAAGTTTATTGTTCTTATAAGATTTTATTTTCTTTACATGTTCTTATACCTATTTGTAATAGTTCCTCTAAAGAAGTATTATTATTAATTTTTTCTTCTATATCTTAATCAAAATTAGATATAATTTTCAAAAGCATTCCATAATAATTTTTTTATTTAACTAAAAGTACATCATATTTAATATTATTGTCTTAATTATTTAGTTTTTCTAGATTTATTTAATCTTCATATGCTTAATTAGATAATTCTAATTTTTCTTTTTCAGAAAAAAGTTTTTCTATTTACCTCAGTTATTCTTTGATTTGATTTTTTAATTATTCAATAAGTATTTTTTCTTGAATATTTTATTAAATTATTTTTTCGTTTTCTTATTTAAATTCTTCCGATTTTTCAATAAATTCTTTTTAAAGATTTTCGAATTTTTAATGGAAATTATTTTCGTTTTTTTAAATTTAAAATTTTAATTTTTAATTATCATTTTCTAAATTTTCGTTATTTGTTTAAATTTAAATATTTTTTTGATTTATTTAATTATTTTCGTTTTCCATTTTAAAAATCTTATTTTCGCAATTTTTATTTATTTATATTTATTTTTCAAGTTTATCTTATAAAATATTCATATTTTAGTTCATTTAATTTACTTGTTTTTCAATAATTTTAAATTTCTGTATTTATTCTTGAATTTCAAGTTCTTTTTCTTCTATTAATTTTATGTTTTTTTCTATTTCCTATTCTTTTTGATTTAGTTCGTTTTGTAAATTTTCTAAAAGACTTTTTTATTTATTTATTTATTATTATTTTTGCTAATTTTCATTTGTTTTTTCTTTAATTTCTTCTTTTTAGTTTTATAAAAGGGTTTAATATTCATTTTCTTGTTAATAGAGTTCATTAATTTAATGCTTTTATGTATTAATTTATTACTAAAATTATTAGTTTTATACATTTATATTTAAATTTTATTTTTTTAAATCTTCTATTTAAGTATTTTTTAATTGTATTTATTCATTTGAATTTTCGATTTTTTAAAAAAGAGAATTTTTTTCCTTTTCGAAATTTTCGTTGAGATTTTTTTAAAGGAAAATTTAATTTTTTACATCTTTTAAATTATCTTTTAAATTTTATTCAATTTTTTAATTTTCATTTATTTAATTTTTTTATTTTTCGCATTTTTTTAAAAGCTATTCTTTTTCTTATAAAATATCTTCCATTTTTTTAGTTAAATCCTTAATTGTATATACGTTTTCATCAATATTTTATTACTTTTGAATATTTATACTGTTTAAATGATTTATTTAATCGTTTTAGTTATTATTAGTTAGTATTAATTATTCAATTTTTTACTCGTTTTTTTGATTTTGGTAAAGTAATTTCTCTAAATTGGCTTTGAGTTCTTTTTTTATTCTTTATTATCATAAAATTCATTACTTAATTATTAATAAGAATCATTCAATTAATTATTTTCTATTTCGAGTTTTTAAATTTGTTCAAGAAGTGAATTTTTTTCGAGTTAAATTTGATGTTTTTGCTCATTTATATTATTATTTAATTTTTTTATTTAATTATTTATTTCATATAATTCATCATTTTTATTTTATAAGGTTTAATTTTCAAGTTTTTATTAAGATATAGTATTTTCCTATTTTTATTATATTTTTTATAACATTAAGACTTCTTTATTTTATTAATTTAATTAATTAATTAAAGTATTTTTTTCTTAAATGAAGAAGTTTATTTAGTCCTAAATTTTTTCATTTTCATTTAATAATTTATTATTTTTTTCTTCAATTTTATTTTCTTTAAATTTCCATTCAAAGACTAAAGTATTTAATTTTTAGTTTTCTTCTTTAAGACTTTCTTTTTCTTTTAAAATTTCCTAATATTCATTTTATAATAGACTATATTATTTTTCAACCAATTAATATTTGTTAATTGATATATTTTTCTATTCTTAAATATTTTAAGTTCTTTTTATAAAGAATTTTCTTTTTGTTTTAAAAACGAGATTTATTCTTCGAAATTTTATATATTTTTTTCAGTATTTTCATCCTTTTTTTATTATAAATTTTCCATTTCTTATTTAATCTTTAAATTTTCATCTTTTAAATTTTTTAAGCTTTTATATAAACGTTCATTTTCAATTTATAAAAAGTTAATTTTTTAATTATTTTCTTATTCAAAAATTAAATATTTTTCTTCCAAATTTTTCATGAATTAACTTTTTTCGATTTTTTCTATTTATAATAAATCATTTTCTTATATTAAATTTTTATTTTTTTCTTAATAATTTTCTATATTTTCTTCTAAAAGATTTATTTTTAATTCAAATTATTATAAATTTTACCTTATTTTTTAATTTTCTTCTAAAATCCGTTTTTTATCCTTTTAAATTTCCATAATTTCCATTTATAATTTCTCTTTTTAATTCATTAAATTTAAGTTATTTTCTTTGCTTTTTTCTTATTCTATATTTTATTTTTCTTATATTTCGCATAATTATTCGTTACATTATTAAGCCAAATTTACTTCTTGTTCCATTTTTTATAATTCTTCTGTCAATTAGTTGATTTTTTAAATCATTTTTTTATTTTCTATATTTAAATTAGTACTTTATTATTATTATTTTTATAGATTTTCTTCTAATTGAGTATTATTTTCACATAAGAAGGTATTATCTTTTTATAATTAATTGTTTTTTTATAATAATTCTTCAACTTATTATTATAAATTATAATTATTTTATTAAAGATTTTCCAAATGTTAACATTAATCATTATATTTATTTTAAATTTCATTTAATTATATATTAAAGTTTGATATTTACTCATTTTTTTTATTAAGTTTTTGTATTTTTTTCTAGCTTACATTAATTTATTTCTAAAAATCATTTTTTTCATCCAAAAAATAAGCATTTTATTAATTTTATTATTCTATAACATTTTATAATTCTTCATTATTTTCTTTTAATTAACAAATCAAATTTTACAAAACGTTATTTTCTTTAAAAAATTTATCATTTAAATAAAGTGTTTATTAAAGTTCTTTTTATAAAGAATTTTTCTCTTTTAAATTTTCTTCAAGTTCTTAATGTTTTTCGTTTATATAATTTTAGTGTGTATCTTATAGTTATTATATTTATTTTTATAAATCTTATATATTATCTTTTTAAAGGAATATAGTTTAGGAATGATTTTCTATATTATTTTTCTCGTTTTTTAATTCTTGTATTAGATTTTGGATTTGGTTTTCTTTTTATTTAATTTATAAACTGTTTTCTTAAAGTTTTTTCCTTAAATTTTCTTCTTGGAAATTTTTTTAATTTTTAAGTTCGTTTATTTCATGTTTTTATTATTCGACTTTCTTTGTGTTTTCCTTATTTTCTTTCTTATAGTTTTCCATTTCTTCGAATAAGTTTTCGTTTTTATGAATAAATTTCATATTTTCCATTTTTAGATCTTAAACAAGGCAATTTAACTCTTAATTTTATTATTAAGATTCTATAAATTAATTTTCTTTTATTTTAATTTAATTAGTTTGTTCTTATATTTAACTTTTGAAATTAGAAACTTATTTTTTAAAAGAAGAAATTTAATTTTCGAAATTAATTTAAAGTTCAGTTTTCGTTGATTATAAAAGCAAAAATTCATCATTTATTTTATTTAATTCTTTATTTAAAATAAAGTTTTTATTTTCAAATTCTTTTATTTTTTCAAGATTTTCGCTTTTATTCTTTTATAAGTCTTAATTTTCTTCCTTTAATTCTTTAATTTTTGCTTTTTATTTTTCTATTTTTTCCTTTAGATTATTTTCAGTTTATTTTTAAC